GAAATGGCAATAGCTGAAACTACAAAAATCATCCAATCAAAATGTATGTGTAAGAAATATAAACAGTCTGGTGTTTAAATGTGAGAATATACAGAGGCTAGTATTGCAGGGGCAGCTAATGACTCTGGTGTAAATTGACACTTTTAGATACATGTTAAGTTGTTGTTGTAGCTCCAGGTAAATTCCAAGTTTCTTCCATAAACTGATGTGGGTTGAGGAGAAATGCTCAGATTGTTTTGTTAAATATATTTCAATTGTTGCGTGGGCTTTCACATTTAAGCATTTTTACCGTAAATTTCATCATGTCATATCAACTTTTTGCAGCACTTTCTTGTGTTTACTGGTGCATCTATGACCTAATTGGAAATCATTTGTTGACTGTAGCAGGGTAACATTTGGATAGCCGACAGCTCCCACCAGTCAGCTGCAGTCATCGGAGTCTCTTCCTCTCCGCCGTCCCAGACACATTTTCAGCTCCAGCGGTTTTGGTGGAAAAGCAATTAGGATTTGGAATTAGTGATGAAATTAGAGGCGTATTAAACAGGCTTTGAGATTAACCCTTTCTCTCCTGCCTATTATCTAATCATGGATCGAGAATTACTCATAGCCATCTGCAATGTCACTGATTATTTCTTTGTAGTTTGCATTTTGTTGTTTCTTTTTATTGCCGGTGTTTGAGTGGTTTGAAATAGAATAGGAGACCACTATTACCCCATTCAAGCTCTAAAAGAGGATAGTGCCAGCAAGACCTCATTACAGCAATAGAGACACCCATGGCTCTGACAGTTCGTGGGGAAGCTCTAAATCCTGCTATACCTGAGGAATAGGCAATTGTGTTCTTATGTGGAAGGCAATGATCATAAATCATACCAACTAAATGGAAATGGTCTGTCTCTCATCACGTGCGAGCTGACTTAACAAATGCTCTATGAAACAACGCTATTCACTTACTCACTTTGGATTTATGCAAACAGTCAGTCAGCTTCAGTGTAAAATTCTTGCAATTCTGCATCTTCTAAGAATTGAACAAACTTGTAAATAAAAGTAATATTATTCCTGTTACTATTACTATTAGTGCAGTGGTTGCTATGAAGGTGAATACTTTCAGAGTATGCGACAAGCAATGCAATTCTTTATACACTACTAGTCAAAAGTTTTATATAAATGCACAAGATGAGAAAATATACGAGGCAAGATATATGGAATTATGAAAAATGTTACATGCTAAATATTCTGTATATTTTTATATAATTTTTTGCTTTGCTGACAGCACTGCAAAACCTTGGCCTTCTCACAATGAGATTCCTGATATTGTCACCTGAAATGGTTTTCACTTCACTGCTGTGCTATGTCAGAGTCAACAAATGTCAAAAGTGCATTATTTTATTACTTTGTTTGAGATAATTTATTTGTTTGCTACTTTTATATGGGTCTGGTCAAGTGGTAATGGAGGGAAACAGGGGCAGATTTTTGACATTCAAATGTCTCTTATTCAGAAACTAGAGGGACTATTGAAATAAGTAAAGTATCAGAATGTAGGAAAGAGTTACACTCCAACAGGGTCAAGTTAAACCTGTGATATTCTTTCAAGTTGTTGACAAAAAATGTAAAAACTCATGTTGGTAACAGAGGGAATGAAATATGCAGCACTTTTTGGGCAATAAATCCAAACAGTGATAACTCTTGGTTCTCACTTCCATATCCTTAACAAACTGGTTTGAATATTTGCTTCATATAGTTTTCTACCATATGGTACAAGATTAGGTTGAAAAACCTCTTACTTTTTGAGTCATGAGATTTTTTTTTATTAAGAAAGGTCATGGTAACGGAGGGAAAAGTAACGGAGGGAAAATTGTGCAAACAAGTAGAAGGTGCAGGATTTTACATCATTTGTCAACTTTTTTCTTCTGAATATTTTAATATTACTTCAAAATGAAAGGAAACTATTTCTATAAAATATGTCAGTCCTTCCAAGCTAATTTTTATCATTTTAAATACATTTTTTTTGAAAAATCATGTACCTTCATCAACAGTTCAAAGATGGAATAACACAAGATATGATGAAATACATCCATTTATTTACATGATTTTCAGGTCTTTGAAATTTGGGAAATAATTTTTGTTCCATGTTTCATACATGGTCTGTTTAAAACATATGGAACTTTAGAACCAAAAATGGTACAGAAAAAAGGTCAACAGTTTCATAAACTAGAGTACATATGTATCTGTTCAATACATTTTTATATCAGATGCATTAACTTGAATTTTTGTCCTTGCTGTTTACTTCTGCTTGACCGGGCCCATGTGTGTCATTCATAGCTTTAACGCCTTCAGTGAGAATCTACAATGCAAATGAGCATGAAAATAATAAAGAAAAATATAGTGTAAAAAATGTTTGACTGATGGTGTATATTATATTATATTATATATATATATTATACATTACTATAACATGTATTTGTTTGAATGCATTGTCAATACTGGACTAAGCAACATAACTTTTTATTATGATCTGACACATTAAAAGCTAGTTCAAGTTAAATCAACCATTTTCTAGACTGGGCATTTTAACAACCAATGCCTTACCCAACCTATACATTTTTATTTGCCTCTCTCTATTAGACATTACATAATTCTGAACTGTGACAGCCAGCAACCAGTACAAGATCTTTCCCATGTCATCAAATGTGAGCGTCTGTCCCCATTGCTCTCCGGGCTGCTCCTCATTTGCGAGAGTTGGGCTGCACTGTGCGGGGAGCTGACATATTCACATGGCCACAGCAGTGCTCTGTAAATGGCTGCCTGATGGAGAGTGACATTTTTGCACAGCCCTGGGAGACTGGGGGCCGGTCTCTCCTCTTTCCAATACAAAGTGCTCCTAATTGCCCACACGCATTAGTGAGCCCCGCTGACAAACTCGCAGAATCAATACTGCTGCCGACACTGGAGCAAGAGTGCATTGTTCTTGTTCTGCAATATATAAGACTAAAAATGTGATATGAGATAAGAACAAAGTATTATTTTTAAATCTTAGGTTCAGTTCGATTAAATCTGCTCAGTTGTGGTGTACTTTGCTGCTGTAATCAGATGTAATTTACTCTTCAGCAATATGTCTCACATGGTAAATGGTAAATGGTCACATTTTTCTATAGAGCTTTTCCACCTTCAAGGCACTCAAAGAGCTTTACAACAAGGAACCACTCACCCATTCACACACACATTCACACACCAGTGTACGCAGACACTGTGGGCAAGGTGGGTTAAGTGTCTTGCCCAAGGACACAACAACAGCTGGAATCGAACCGCCAACCTTCAGATCAGTGGGCGAATGCTCTACCAACTGAGCTACTGCCGCCCCGTATATATGCCTTACATGTAATTTTTTTCCACCTGCTTTTCTCCATGAAGATGTTATTACTTTGGAATGTTTCACAGTATGGCATTAAACCTTTCTATCATCATGGAAACTAAACCAGGCCAAGTTACAGGTCAGCTCTGTGGAGTGGCAACCCCTCTCAAAGTCAAAATGCCTGTTTTCCCAGGTATTTTGAGCAATGAAACCACCTGTAATTGAATAAATGTACGGTAGATCTGTTTCATGTTCCAAGCAGAGCATTTGCCCACAGATCTGAAGGTTGGTGGTTCAAATCCAGTTCTCGACATAAACATCACAGGTTGAGCGGTCAGATCCACTGACCCACAGGTTGGCTGATGTGATTCCAGCTCCCACAGATGAATGCTGTCGTTGTGTCCTTGTGCAAGACACTTAATCCACCTTGCCCACAGTGTCTGCGTACACTGGTGTGTGAATGGGTGTGAATGGGTGAGTGGTTCCTTGTTGTAAAGCTCTTTGAGTGCCTTGAAGGTGGAAAAGTGCTATAGAAAAATGTGACCATTTAGCAGAGTGTACCTTTAAGGCTACTCCTTCTGCAAATACTGAAACTATTAACATTTTGGATGCGTACTAAGTCACTGTAAACTAAATACAATGGATAGTTTGAATGTTTTATTATTATTATTATTATTATTGTTACCCTATTATTGCTTGTTGTATTTTAAATAAGAAAAGTAATTATTATTTTTTTTTTTATTGTAGTGAACCACAGTCACACTACACATATTCTACTAAAACCTCTTGATTCAAAGCCCAGATGTGTATGTGAGTGTATGGCCCTTCTGCTCTCTCTGAACCTTTGAGCTGTCTGCCTTAAAGGCCACTGTTTATCTGTGATTTTAAGACAAATAGGAGAGCGCACAGGAGCATTAAGGGCATCCACTGCGCACTGAAGGCTGAAATAATGGCTGCTGGAAATGGCACAGGACAGCTCATTACCAAATGGACTGTGTGACCAGAAAAACTCTGAAATTTGTTCCTCCGTACAGCAGAAAAGATATCTGAAAAGTCTGAGGCCATCTCAGAATTTAGAACTTTGAAAGTAAAGTTTTAAACATTAAAACAAAGACATGTCACTGTAGTTTGTGATTGAAAGAAAAAGGTCATTAGAAGAAGCTTTGTTCAAACTGTTTGAATTGTTTGAGTGGAAGACCATAAAAGTATTTTGGGTGTTTTAGGTCTGAACTTTTGGACTTTCTGGTTTGGTTTGAACCCAAGTCTCAAGTGTGACATTATGAGGACTGTGGTTTATACCAAACAGCTGCTGTGTGGTCTATAAAGGGGCGGCCTCGATCCTGTGTGATTACAATATATTGATTTTGTTCTCATAAATGGTCAAATTATTAACGGTTGTGATCACAAAGCATGCCTTATTCTCATGACAACAGAAAACTAACAACCCCAGAAAAAGTCAAGTGTGGGGGAAAAAATAAATAAATAAAGAACATAAACCAGATATTTGCAGAGAAGTTTGAGTCTATTGCAGTCCTGACCTCAAGACCTTTCATAACTAACTACATGTTTTTAAGTCATTTACAAAGCTACTTCTGATAATTAAACTAAACTAAACTAGCATGCTAATTACCCCTCTGTGCTCCTCCCCCAGGCTCCTCTGTGATGCAGGTCACAGCCACTGATGCTGACGACTCCACCACAGCCAACGGCATGGTCCGCTACCGCATCCTGTCCCAGAGCCCCCACAGCCCCATCCCAAACATGTTCACCATCAACAGTGAGACGGGAGACATTGTCACAGTCGCAGCCGGCCTGGACAGAGAGGTCAGTATCTTGGCGGCTGGGCACAAACAACAAGGAAATATCGAGGAATTGAGATTTATTGATTAAAAACAATACTTAATACTTACTTAATACAATTTTCCAACCATTAGAATGAAAAGTAGCAGCAGAAATGCTTTTGGTTTTAAAGATTACAATTATTTACTGAAAGTACAATTTGCAATGTGGCACTTGAACCATTTTAGAACATGTCCTGTAATGGTTTTCAATATCACATTGCTTATGTAATTACTTCAGACAGGTTTTATACATATGTGGCAGACACTTAATCCCAAGATGAAGAAAACTGTAAACCTTCAAACTTCAAATAGTATCTGTTTAAAACTGATTGGTTAAAGATGCATTTTTGGTACATTTTCTTCATCTTTTTTTGAATGTGTCTGTAATCTGGACATTGACAAGCAAAACATTGAGAGAAAACCATAGAAACACACCTGACGATTTAACATCCCTAATTTTTCTATCTTTGCTCATCTGTGATTTCTGATTACTGACTTGACTTATTTCAGTTAATTTAATATGTTTAGTCCTCAGACTTAGTTTCATGATATTGATATTGGCATTCTTTCATATTCACCCTAATACCAGAAAATAAAATGTAATTAATGAACTGGATATTTTTGTTGTGAGTTATAAAAAGATGTCTTCTTTTTTTTTGTTCCCACAGTCAATTTGTTCCAACAGTTTTCTCAAGAGCCAGCAAATTAATTAGTCCACAAATAAGCCTCTCCACTAATCAACTAAAGCTTGACAATCCATGCTCAATAACAAGTGTTTATTATTTTAATGACAACACACATGGTGCATCATTTTAATTTGAAATTGTGAATATGTGATGCAGGGCATATCAAATAGTCTCGTTGAGTGCCAACCTCCTGGCCTCTCTGGTTGTATTCAGAGCAGGTAAATTCTATCTGGAGTATTATTACATAATAATAATGTAAAATTTTAATGTTTTTTTTATTATTTTATCCCTCACTTATTCTTTTCCACATTCCACATTAATAACTAAACCTTTATTAGTCTAAACATAACATGGACAAAGACTTAATATAACATAATTTTAAAAAAAAACATTTCTTCACAATAATTCAAGCTTAGTAACTACTTAATTAAATTGTTAGAGTTAGGATATTTACTTAATTAGCTTAAATCATTCTTTATAACTTTTTTTATTTATTTATTTATTTTAATCCTATTTATTTATTTTAATCCTGAAAGATGTTTTCTTGCTTTACTAAGTATATAAAAACTGCATTTGTTATGAAGTTACCATTTTCGTTGTGTAGTTTTTGGTTTCATATAATTTAGTTATATTATTGGTCTATTTTTATTTTTTTTTTTGTAATAGTTATAACTACTTTTTATTTATATTGGACTGTTATTTTGAAATAACTACACTCTTTCCTATAAGTACAAAATATATGTATTCTTCCCACCTCTATTTACGGTGCTGTTTGTAAGAGTGCATGTGGGCTGGCTGCCATCCCACACAGTGCATATGTGTGAGTATTTTCCAGATTGTACATTCAGCTAATAAGCGAGGTCATGCAGGGTCAGCATTTGTTGATTCCCACCTCCTTCAGGTGACTGTGGGCAGTAATGTTTTATGGCACGCTGCAAGTTGGCCAGCCTACATTCAGAATAAACACGCAAGTATTCCATCTGGCTGCAGGGTACAGAGAAATAGGGGGAAAAAATGTCTGATTTCTTGTACAAAGTGTTGTTAATTAGTTGCTTTTTTTTTGTTGAGCTATGTTTCACATCCTGCCCCAAATAATTAACACATACACTGTTGAATTTCTGAAATTCTCAAACCAATTAACACCTGATTTCTTTTTATTTCCAAGTGCAAAGTTTTAAAATGACCAGATCCAAGGTGTGTTTAAAGTATTCATAGAAATGAGGACTAAACCCAGATTTAACCACATTTAACTGACAGTGCTGCCTATAAAGACAAGTCTGACCTTTTTACATAGGACACACTTTATTTAATTCACTGTAGTGTAATTCGAGGTTAGTGCTAGACTGACTAGATTGCCCGACTATCTAACCCTTTTTTTAACTTTAACCAAAGTCTAATTTTAAAGATGCATCATGTAACTTTTTGATTGGGGGTCCATTACCTGCTTGTTTCTATTTATATGTCATTGCTTTGCCTCAAATGTCCCACAGTATGACATTAAACAGCTCTACCTTACATTTATTAAACTACAGGTGGTGTTATTGCTTACAAATACTTAAAAAAGCAAGCATTCCGACTAGGGATGGGCATTCGATGAAATTTTCTTAATCGATCGATTATTGATTAATCATTAACGTTTTTATATTAAAATGATCATCATTATTATTACTATCTGCACTACTAATCTGCATAAATAAATTCAACTTTATGACAAATAAACCGTAACCACTCTAGAGCCACATCAGCCCGTTTATTATAATGTGTTTAATTCAGTTTTGCGCAACTCTCACAGAAACAAAACTTAAAACCGCATCGCTAATTTGCATAAACTAAGTGAAGATAAAACTACAGCTCTTGTGTCGCTGATGTGGTTCAACTTCTGTTGGATTAAAAGACATGACTCAGGTGAATACAGGTTAGTGTGACCAGATTTGTGTTTGTCAAAACCAGGACACCGTACGGGGGGAGGGAGGTGGGGACTCGTCATCCACATTGAGCGACTCTCACCTGGTAAAACTTTTTCCCACTGGACACCGAAACATATGTGCTGCTTTGTACACTGTGCACATGGACTCACACTTGTCCCGACCGGAACGGAAAGTGTGGAATTTCTTGTACAACTCATCGTTAAATACACATTTGCACTTCGGTACGTTACAGACTGACTGTCTGTTTGTGTCTTGCTCCTTCTGAGTGCAGAGACACATGTACAGACCCGTTTGCTCACGCTACACACAGCAACCTGCATTCGCTTTGTCGATTAAAATTAATCGATGAAATTCTTAATGATCAATTATGGATTAATCGATTAACCATGCCCATCCCTAATTGAGCAGTGAGCAGTGTTTTCTCCAGATCTGACCTGTAACTTGGGCCCCATCCACACATAGTACGTATTCGAGTTGTTTTCATTGCAGATGCAGTGTTCGTCCACACTAATCCGATTGAAAACGGTTCCAGAGACAGAACAATCCGGTGCCACCAGCTCCCATAAATTTTTGAGTGAATTGAGTGATACGCTGATGTAGGTCTATGCACCACAAAGTAGGCTTATTCACCACCAAAACGCTAAGAGGCTAGAATATATGTCCATTCACATAAACGTCTATGCGGTCTATGTGTATGACCTGCAGACGTATAATCTCTGAAAAGTTTAACATGAACCATCTCCAATGTGATAGAAGCACAGAACAGACTCACCATTAACACCCCTGTGCACAGAAAGAACACATATATAATCCACCAAGTCGTGTCCTTTAGTCCGACAGAAGCTGAACCTCATCAGCACATAATAGTGAGCTGTTTTTTGAGCGCTTAGTTTATGCAAATTAACCATGCGGTTTTAAGGTTAGTTTCTGTAAAACATAAACAAATATGCTCAAAGCTGTGTGGATAGGGAAGGCTTGCGGACACAGAAATGACGTGTCTGGATGTAGAAAGTTTCAGATATGGTGATACGGTGATTCTGTGATATGTTTCAGTGTAAACGTAGTCTTGGTCTGAAGATAGAATAGTTTAATACCACACTGTGGAACATTCCAGACAAAGTGATAACATCTAATTTGATGGGCTCTCCACCAGAAAAGTTACATAATGCACCTTTATCTATTTCCTAATCCTAACCTGAACCACAACCATTGCCTTATTTATAACCCTATCATATATGCTGTTCTTATGGCTACTGGTGTTCCTAAGATAGTAGTATTTAATATATTTATGTTGGTATCACAGTGGACATATTTAATGGCTATGACTACTGCTGCGAGCCATGTTGTTGGAGGTGAAGCAAGTTCACACTTCACTAAAATACACTATCCACATATCACTCCAAACACACATACCACTGCATAGTACTCCACAATGCTTTTGTATTCACAGAGCTCTGGAGAGGAGCCCATGTATTGTGAGTGTGCTGGGTGCAGGCCTGGCCCCATAGCAGCCACTGAAGAGAGCAGGGGACAGCTCATTAATCTGCAGGACAGAGCCAGCCCGGTCCCACCTGCCTCTGATCGTCCCACTAAAACTGGGACACACCTGGGAGCTCACCCACCTGCAGCTGCGCAGAGAACCCCACACACATGCACACACAGGCACACACACACAAAACGGCATGTGCCACAACACGGACTGAGAGAGGGCTGTCTGTTTGCAGCTGTTTACACACACCTTATAATGTGATGATGGTGCTACACATGGACTGCATAAATAACAGTGCTGTGTTCAGATTTAGGGACTTAAGAGTCAAAGCTGCCCTTAAGAATAGATTTTCACTTTAGGCGTCCGATCCAAAAGTGCACTAATCTAGTAAAATAAGCCTTTTCTGAGCTTCTAACCATGTCAGAAATCTTTTCACATCAAAAACATACCCGAGGTTGTGTTTTTCTCCACTCGCGCATGAGTAATCCTGCAGTCAATATGTCTTAATCTATGAAGCTCTTTTGTCTTTATATTGTCCATACATCTTCACTAGACTTGTTATGATCATTTCAGAGCTCAAATTACCTCCATTAATCAACTCTCCTTCTGTTTCATGACAATAGCAGATGCTGGTTTAAAGCATAGTGACCTGCAGATATTCTCGATACATACATACATACATTATTTTAAGTAACACTACCAAAACTGGGATGTCCAAAGTGGGCTCTTTTGCATTTCTGTCAACTAATTGATTTGTGTTTTCATTTGTTTCTATGTAATAATTCTACTGCATAATAAGACGGGTTAACACATATTGAAGCTGGATTTACAAAGCACAATGCCGAAACTAAGACAGGAAACACGCCTTTTAATATTTCTC